GACCCTGAAACTGCAAGAGAACGCATAACTGAGTCAAACACCAACAGGCCCAACTCCAATCCTGATGAACATCTCCACCCACACCTGGAGACCTTCACACCCACTACCACCCGACCCGAACCAACTATCAATTCTCGACAACAAAACACTAGTCCTCGGCCCATTACTCGGCAATCCCCTCCGCCGAGCACCAGAACCGAAAAGGACTACGGTGGAAGTGTCGAAATCCTCCACCCCAAGCCCCCAAATCGGAGAAATTGAATCCGCAACCAGCATCTGAAGAAAGGCCGGAGGACCACCAAAGAGAAAAATCTTGGGATTCGACTGCCCGCCACTCTGTCCAACCGCCAGGACCACGACGAGACCTAGATCGGAGACGAGCACCTTCTCCTACCCGCCGAACAATACCACCTCCAAATTAGTTCCTAATATTTGAAACACTACTCTAGGAACATAAAATGTTCATAACCAAATTTATGAACCAAATTTGCAACTCAATAAATTATGTGGATCAATTTTGCAAATTTTATAACTTTTGTTTAATCTGACCCAAATTACTAAAAATAAAAATAAAAAAAATATAACATTTAGAACCAAATTTATAGTACAATGGACTAAATTTGTAATTACCTTGTAAAAATTACAGGAGATTCCACGGTCTCGTTACGGAACAATTTTCTCAAGACTTCTAACCGTTAGATTAATTATCCACGATAGTTACATGATGGTCTAACGGTTACAAATCCGAGCAAAATGATTTTGTAATGGTACGGTAGCATTTACAAAGACTTTATACTATGATACTATACTTGATTCCTTGTTATCTTTAGCATTAGTTCATTTTTTAACATCGAATCCCAAACTGGAGATAAACTAGAAATCCAGAGGTCGATCAGCGCAGCTGTCAATTTTCACTTTTACTGCTTACCTCTCTACGCGGGATCTCTCTCTCTACACTACACCCTACTTGGAGAGAGAAGAGAGAGAGAGAGAGAGAGAGAGAGAAGAGAGAGAGAGAGAGAGAGAGAGAGAGAGAGAGAGAACACAGTGTGCGGAACAATGGCGCATAACGGAAAATTGATGCCCAATCTGGATGAGAAAACGACCAAGCTGCTTAATCTCACAGTGCTCCAGCGAATAGATCCTTCCGTCGAGGAAATTCTCATCACCGCCGCTCACGTTACCTTCTACGAATTCAACATCGACAACACCCAATGGGTATTATGCTCATCCCTAATTGCGAACCATATACATCCATATATGTATTGGTTAAGCTTTTTTTCTTTTTTTCTTTGATTGATTATGGTTTTCTTCTTGGCAGAGCCGGAAAGATGTAGAAGGGTCCCTTTTTGTTGTGAAAAGGTGAGGGCTTATGTAGAGCATTTAAACCTTTTTCTCCTTCATTTGTGTACTGAACTTACTTGTAGGCACTCGAGAGTTCAGTGTCTCTGTTGCTTTGGATTTTTCGTCAGGGAAAATTTAAGGGTTACTGATTATTCCGTTTCTCGCAATTTTTTTGTTTCTTTGATTTTTGAGCTCAGGAATACTCAGCCACGGTTCCAATTTATAGTAATGAATCGTCGGAACGCCGGTTAGTCGTTCAGTTACCTCGTATTTTTTTTTCTGTATTTATCTTGGAATTGAGTATATGGTAACATGTTCCATATGCATTTCCTTGTGGTGCATAGCAGAGTAGTAGGAAAATTACTTCTTGTTTTATGCTAATGTTAACTTATCCTTATTTAAACTTTGGTACCCAAAGTTAGGCAGTATTTCATGGTCAGAGCCAGTGATTCAACAACTTTCACATTTTGTAACTAAAGTTTGAGAAATGCATCAGATTCATTAGCCATAATTTCAACGAGAAATCGTTTTAGGGTAAGTGAATCTGGTGCATTTCTCATACATTGGATACCAACTTGAAACTTGTAAAACAAAGAGTACTGATCATAAAATATCGCCAACTTTGGGTAGCAAGGATGAAATTTAACCAAGATGGCAAGATTTTATCTTTGACCAATGGGATGAAAGTTCTGGACTTTTCTTTGAAAGATCATAGAATTTAAATGTATCGGTTGGAATCAACTCCTGAAGTAAGTAGTCTTCTTGGAATCTAGATTTAACTTAGTTAGTTAATATCAATTTTAACATTTCACCCATAGTGCAAGCCGAAGATTTGTATTTTTATTATTGCAAATGAAAAATTACATAGTTAGAGAATTTGAAATAATGTTCTTTGACTGCATAAAAGTGAATGAAACTTTACCAAGAACTATTGAAGGCTCTCTTAGCTCCAGAAGAAAGTTGGGAAACACTTATTTGAGTGCATAGTCTCTACCCTCTTTCCTTTGAATCATATTTAAGAATCAAGACAACTATTTTTTTGATTTAGAATTAAAAGCAGCTGGCCGTAGGCAATATGGAGGTATGTCCTCAGAAAGAAAGACTACAACTTTGACCCAGTAGAGCTTGAGATGCATGTTCTCTGGGGCAACTACCTTTATAGTGGATAAAAAGAACAGAGAAGCAACTACTTTTAATTGCAATCCATTTGGATCAGGGTTTTTTAGTTTTTCAGAAACAAACTATAAAAAGAGGGCAATGGTTTTTGTGTGAAAAGAACACTCAGAATTGTCAAAATAATGCGACGGAAGATGCATTTCAATCCATTTATATTAAGACGTCTTGTTGCTGTTAGCAGATAATTTGGTGGAGAATCTATTGGGAGATTTTGAGTATGAAGTGCAGGTTCCATATCTATTATATCGAAATGCTTCCCAAGAGGTAAATGGAATATGGTTCTATAATGCACGAGAATGTGAAGAAGTTGCAAACTTATTTAGCAGGTTGGTTAATATTTGTTTCTCTTATTTTTTTCTTGTCTTTTGAATCTGGATTTTTCTTGAAATTTGTAGATAGTAGAAGATCTCTTTAATGGAAATACACTTAAGTCCACACACACCCCCACACACACACACATATATATATTTTAAAGAATCTTTATAATGCTTCTTGTATTATTTTGTATGTTAAAATTTTCTGTAGTAATGGTCGTGTAATCTATCGTCGGTTTAATTGTGGTTCACTATCCAGTAATTTATAATGGAACCTTTTTGTATATATTATTGGTGACATGCCCGTGATGCTTTGCTTTCGTTAATTCAGCTTCTGTTTTATTTATTAAAATAATTCTTTTTGTTTTATTTGTAGGATACTTAATGCATATTCCAAGGTGCCGACAAAGTCAAAAGTGTCTCCTACAAAAAGGTAATTCCACGTTTTATCTGACTAAATCCAGAGTTGCTATTAGGATTTTTAGAGTTGTTTTACTGAGTAGCAATTAATGTGGTGACTACTTCTTACTTAACCAGCCTGATACCCATTAGGACTATAGTTAGGATTTGCTTTCTGTAGCTGCGTTGTCCTGATGACCACAACTTCGAGTTGTATCTATAAGTGACTAGTTGGGGAATTTCTTTGTATTTGGAGTTGAAACACTACAATTATGATTATCTCAGAGTTGTATGTCCAGTGCATTGTTACTCGTTGGGCCTGTTTTTCAAGACCGCCTCTCTTAACTAATACACTGTAGCTCTGCATCTCTAAGTGGGCAAAAAGGGTATGTATGACGAAATTGATGTCACTAGTTCGTTTACTATCATTTTATAGACAGTCTATTATGTCCTTTTTTCATTTTGTAGATAGTCTGTGATGTCATTTTGTGATTTTTGTAGATGGTGTATGTTATGTTCTTTACTTGTTTATCAATTGTTGATGCATTTTGCATAATCTTGTCATTGTCAGATACATTCTTGTAGACAGTAGTAAAAACTTTATAAGCGAATGCCCCTCCTCTCTACACACACACACACATACAGATAAATTCTACAAATATTATTTTGGCAGTGAGTTTGAAGAGCTGGAGGCAGTTCCTACATCGGCAGTAATAGACGGTCCACTGGAGCCACCATCTTCTACCACATCCAATATCACAGATGTCCCTAACGACCCTTCTTTCCTGAACTTCTTCAGTGTAGGATCTCTTGCCTTTCTAATTTTTTCCTGACTTTTATCTGTGTTATTAAATGTTTCATACTTAGTGAAATAAAATTGTTAATGAAGCCTGCAAAGACTTGATTTGATCCCCAAAGAGAAACAAATCGAATACAAAAATTAAATTATAACAAAATGCTAAAAATAAAAAAAAAAATACTCAGCAGAACTAAAACAACTAAAAGCCTAATAAGGAAACCCTAAAAACTGAAAAGAAAACTGAAACCAGTCTAACATGTTTTGCAGGCCTCGATGAATATCAGAGGCTCGCCAAATTCGTCAGGCCCTGGGCAGCCATACCACTCCCCCACAACCGTTATTCCAACCTCTTACACTAATGTTATTCCCCTGTCCTCTCTACCGACTTCCCAAATACATCCTAACATACCTACCCCGACCCCTCCCATGTCCATTCTCGACTGCACCGAACCTAACACCACCACCAAACACCCGACCAATCTTGTGAAGCCTTCGACTTTCTTTGGCCCACCAGCTGTGTCGTCTTCTTCGCCGGTAATCATACCTCCCGCCTCGTCATCTGTTCCACAGATTGGGCTCCAGTTGAATTATGCGAGTCTGCAGAGACCTTACGGTGCACCCTTGCTCCAGCCCTTCCCGCCACCGACCCCGCCGCCATCTCTCACCCCAGCTTCTGTGCCACCGCATGTTAGCAGAGAGAAAATCCGGGAAGCCCTTCATGAGCTAGTTCAGGTATGCCCGTGAATCCCGATTATCCTTTATAAATGTCACGAACCCCACCCATCCTTGATTTTTGTTTGTGTGGGAGATACTTGTTGATAAAATACAGCCTTTTCATGTTTAATGGTTGTATATGATTGTTTTTCTTAGTAGAGAGTCGATTGTTGCTTGCAGGATAATCAATTCATCGACATGGTTTATCGAGCAATGTTGAATGCACACAATTCGTGATGAATGGTGGATATTGGTGGTTGTGTTTTCATTTTTCTGCGTGAAGTTTGCAGAAGTTGTTGCTGCCCGTTGTGTAGGTTCCTCTACAAAAGGAGAACTGTATGTCTCTAGAGATTTGAAGTTGTTTTGCTGTTGATTAAATGTAATGACAGTCTGGTCATAATCAGTTTGTGGAGCTACTCATGTTAATGGTGCCAACTTCAAAACATTTACTGGGTGTCGTGTTTAAGTTCTTTGTTTATAGTTATGTACATACTGATGTCAGGGTTAAGTTGGGGCAGATTTTAGTTTGATATTTGTAAAAAATTAACCAATGGTATGTGTTATGGGCACTTTTTTGTAGCTTTTAGAGAAATGTTTTTAATTGGCAATGATTAGGGACAGCCAAATGGAGCGTGTGCCTCGTTATAACATAGTATCATTCCTGCTCGATAAGGCCAATGCTCGACTCGACTCGGCTCGTTTGCAGCCGTACTTGCAACATTAAAAAGATTGAGCTATGTTTGCAATTCCACATAAAGTCAAATATTTTATGTGCAATTAAGCTTATTTGAAAGTCAAGAGGGCTCCCCATATTTTCCCTACAGAACCATTCGCCCATCTCTACCCATTTCAATCTCTCCGTTTGGGCCAAGAGTTGATGTTGATCGCTCTAAACTTACCTAGCGAGTTGATTAAAATCAAACAGAATGTTCCATATACTTTTCTTTTTAAGTAGACAACATGGTTGGATTATTATCTCAAAATTCGGTTATCTATCACCTTTTAAACTTTTAACTAGCAAAAATAGCTTGATGGTTGGCGGTGATGTATTCATTGAAAAAAAACTGTCAATGTTACATATTCTTCGTTATCAATCGTTAACATTCTAAAAA